TGGGGAATTCTGGGAGTTGAAGTCCACACATCTTAAAGCCGCCAAGGTTGAGAAACACTGGTTTAGGGGGTTTTTTCCCAGTTCCCTCTATCTCAAGACTGGGAAATCTTTTCTCAAAATCTCCCTTCATAAGTCTCTTGCACATTCCCCAATTTAGGCCAACTTTATGCCTGGAAAATTAGGCCCACATTGCAAAACTGAGCCGGGCATCATATCGCATTACCCTTGGGCACATTTCTGAGGGGCAGGGAGAGGAGGAGCCAGGGACATTGAGGACTAGCAACTTGCGACCCTCCCATAAAGCCCTCTTAAGCTCGCTCAAGGAAGCAAGGAGCGCTCGCGCCCTTCCGTACGGAGTGTGAATGCACGAATGAGGGTTGAAAAAATGCATTTTCGAACTGTGTGAATCTCTCCTTCCTGGGCTTTTCACGGCCTGGCTTGCTGTTTACGAGACAAGCTCTTAACCAACTCCCTTCCCATCTCCTGAGCTTCCTGTGCAATTAGCTTTGAAACACAGGCAGGGCTTCCACTGAACCACCACGGCCATCTTGACTTTTCTGACCACCCCTGGGCAGGCGGGAACCAAGGGGGCGCAGCACTCACCCGTTCGCTGTGGCGGGGGTCCAGAGTAAACCACAAGGCGATGGCGCAGCGCTGGCCCTTCGTGACGGCTTTCACGCCATGAGGATTTTCCGATCCGGCGGAGAAACCCACCGTCCGGCCACAGTGGGGTTGCACTTCAGCCTGGAGACCAAATTGGGGAGGGGGGACCCCAAAGCTGCTTAGATCATCCTCACCGGCAGCTAGCCCATCAGGGAACACGGCCGCCTCGACGCTGGCTTCCCTAATAGGCTAGACGTCTGCATGCAAACCCCGCTGCGCTAATTCGATGCCCGTTCTTCTTGTGGCAAAGCAAGGGGATGCCCCACCGATGCAAAGACTGTCCCGCCTCGCAGGGTTGTAGAGGAGGCCTGCTCCCAAGAGCATGTGCAAAGAGTGTTCCGTGGAAAAAGCCTGGAGATTATTGGCCGCTGGAAACGCCCCAAAGGCGGCACGGGCAAGACAGAAGGGACTTACCGTCACTGTCGTGGCATCCAGCTCGGTAAAATAGAACGCCCCGCCTTCGAAATCTCCATTTAAATAGAGGATGGCGCTAGAAAGCAATAAACAGCTTTTACTGCTGAGCGAACAAACCCCAAGCATCAAAAACGGCCTGGGATCTGCTTCTCCTTGGCTCGGTCTGCTTCCAGCCCTTTCTGGGGGGAATCAGTTTTTGGCAAAGTAGACGCCCTTTCCGGTCGCTTAATTAAGATTATGAAAATGGGCAATAGCAACAACAACAGAGACCAATGAAAAGGATGCTAGTCCTCAGTGTTGAATGCAAAACTTGGGGCAGATCAGGTTGATTGTAACCCAGCTGAGTGCGTTTAAATTTAAATTTAATTTTCATGACACCTCGAAGCTCACTGTGGGTCACAAAACAGAGTCGCCACGTGGGCAGAGCGTGGCACGCCCATCTCTGCTGGCGCCCTGCATTCTGGGCCAGCTGTCGCTTCCGAGGGGTCTTCCAGGGCAGCCCCGTGTAAAGTGCCCTGGAGCAGTCTATTTTCTTTAGCCTTTTCTCTCCACCTCCTCTCTGGATCTGGCAGCCCTTCAAGGTAGGCTAGATCAGGAAACAGACTGCACGAGAAATACTGGAGCTCTGCTCTATTGATCTAGACCGAGATTTCTCAACCTTGGCAATTTTAAGATGGGTGGACTTCAACTCCCAGAATTCCCCAGCCAGCATGGGTGGTCTCCAACTCCCAGAATTCCCCAGCCAGCAATTCAATTCTGGGAGTTGAAGTCCACAAAGACCGATCTAGACTATAGCAATTATACAATATTGACAACCCGACTGTTTTCCCCTTCCCGCCCTCTTCCTGGCCTTAAACCATGGCTTGCTCACGGCTGCCCCTTCCTTTCTCCCAGGTCATCTCTGTGGGACTTTCAGATGCCCTCTGTGTGCCCAGCAAAGCTCTCCGCTTACCTGTAGTCCCGAAAGGTGTACGCAGGGGGCTCCTTGACGCACACCATGGCCTCGGCGTTCAGGATGCAATTGTCCACGTGCACCGGGTGGCTGGGATCGGTCCGGTCCTCCTGCTTGTCTAGGGCAGAGAGAGGAAGGACTCTTTTGATCGCCCCCCCCCATTTGATTTCCCCCCAAGGCTGGCGTCCGGGCAGTTAGGAATCCAACCCATCTGGCTGGGGGAACTAATCCCCCGCTGGGTTGCAAAACAAAGGCGAAGTTTCTAGTCCTCATGGCAGGCCTGAAAGTCACGCTCTGCAAAAGCTGAGTGAGGAAAAGGTCTGGGGGGAGGGAGACTCTGGCCCCCCACCTCTCTTGGCCTCGCCTGCCTGGCTCTGGGTCTTCCTGGGGTAAATCCCCGGCCGTTCCCCCCGTCGCCCACCCACTTACCTTCTATGGCTGTCCGGCACACCAGGTGAGAGTAGGAGAAATGCAGAGGCACGTCGAGGCGGAAATAGGATTCCATCACCCGTCGGACCTTCTCGGTGGCGTTATAATAGAGGTATGCGCTCTGCATGGGGACTCTGCCCTCCTGCCCCAGCTGTGGGCAAGACACACATGGAGGAGCGGGGAATTGTTCCCCTTCCCCGAATTCGAGAGCCCGGTCTCCCACCGTTTGGAGGAGGGAGCCGTGCTCGGTTTTAGGAATCAGTTTAGAAATCCATTGTTTGGGAAACTAAAAAAGAATTTGCCTTTCCTCAGTTTTGGGCTTCTGTTTTAAAACAAGGGGATTCTAGTCCTCATGTTTATTTAAGAGGAAGCTTAATTCGGCTCACGAGTGGACCACATCTCTTTGCTTTCTCGAAGGGTTACCTTGAGGGCTTTATAGACGGTCACACCGTAAAAGGTCTCGCTGGGTGTATGGGGCGAAGTCTTCCCCCTATAACCATCCCCAGCAGAAGCAGCTGCCTGAAAGAAAAAGATGCTTTTGTAAAGTTTTTATAAAGTTCTTTCCACCTGCTTTGTATTGTTGGGAGAAGAAAGTCCCAGTGGGTGTGACTGAGGGAAAACCCCAAATTTTGGCTTCGTTACATTGGGGTCGCATATGCAAAAGATAAAAAGATGGAGAATTATTTTAGCTAATTTAATAGGGATATTTATATTTTTACTGTTTTGGATTTTAATTGTGAGTCACCCAGAGTCACCCTCTGGGGGAGATGGGCGGCATATAAATTTAATAAATAAAAGAAATAAAAGGAGTGGATTTTGGCTACCGTTGGCTCTTTACACATGTGGAGAAGAACTACAAAGCTGCCATCTACTGGTCAGAAAAAACTGCAGCGTGTTATCTCTGGGCCCAAGGACACAAGATGGTTTGTTCCCACGGCATTGTTTCGAACAAACCAGCCTCAAACCACAATTTCAGCCATATTAGCATCTGGGCTCGCTCGCTGGGGAAGTTTTCCACTCGGCATCCGACCCGTTACCCATCCTTGCCCGCTTTGCTCCCCAAACGAACAACCCCGTTGGTGCAACCCTGGGCATGGGTTCCGAAGACCAGCGTGGGTGACTCACGTTGGTGAGACTTTGCAACGCCCGGCACTCTTCTTCAGAAAGGACCCCGTCCACCACCACGCGCTGGGACCCATTCAGGACCTTGGAGTTCATGGTAACGGTGAGCCCGTCGTACACCAATGGACCCCCTGCGGATTTGTGGGAGAGAAATCAAGGATTTGCCGACACCATTCACCGGGTTCGGGTGCAAAAACCGGGCGTCCCTGCATAAAGGCTTCTGCCCCACGGAAGGAGGCCAGGTTGAGAAACAGCCCCGCGGGAAATCCGAGAATCCTACATTGTTGTACTAGTGTACGATAACAGAAACTCGAAACCCTGTCCAAGTTTCTCTGTGTCCCGTCTTACACTCGACAAAATCAAAATGGGGTTGTTTCGAGTTTCTTTCTCATGCTTCCTTCAATCTCTGAACTGAGTTCAATAAAATGTTCAGCCTCTGAACTTTCCTTAAGGCCTCGTTCGTTGCGTCCCCCAGATCAGCTCTAAATCCTTTTCTGGATTCACATGACCACCTATCCTCTTTCTCTTATCCCCGCCAGCGGTGGTTCTGGTTTTAGCAAGGGGGCGGGTTGGGGTCTCCTTTATTTGGATCATCTTTGGCTCAACAGACAGCCACCGCTGGTGACTTGGTGGCGTTTCTCCCAAGGCAGGAATCTCCCCCAAATCCAGAAGATTGGACACTCGCCTTCCCGTAGGAGTTTGCTCATGTCGGAAGACTCCTTCGTTTTCTCTTCCACCAGGGTCTCGATCTCCTTCATGAGATTGCCAATCTCCTCCGAGATCCGAGCCGCCGTCTCGCGTTCCACCCTGCAGAGACACAGAGAGTGCAGGATTGCAGCAAAGCCGGGGATTCTGCTGCAATGGGGGAACACTGTCAGCCTTCCCAGGTAGACCAGACAGGAAACACGACCAGATGAGCTAATTCTACTTTATTGTAAGACTACATTAACAAGTCTGAAAGTACAAATCTCCTGCTATCTCCTTTACAGCCTGAGAAACTACGGAGGGTCCCTTCTGAGTCCTTCTCTGCCCGTTATGCAGCTGTGGTCTGTGCCGTCTCTTATCTGACCATTCCTTAGGCAGCATCCCTTCGCCCTGTCTCTCAAGGTCTTTGTAACATACCATTATAAACATTTTCCCAGAGAGGCTTGTTCTGCAGAACTCACATCTTTTTTTGCTATATTATTGCTGTGATTTTACACTGGACTGCTGTTACCCTGCTGGTAGGTCCCGTCCATTTTTAGCTCCAGATAGGGTTGGACTTCCCTAGATGGGTGTGTGTGTGTCTTTCTGGAGCCACAGCAGCATTTGTCTCATGCACCATTTGTTTCTGGACTCAGAGGCCTTTCTGATGGACCTTGGTCATCTGACACATAGACTACTGCAATGTGTCGCACGTGGGGCTGCCCTTGAAGACCACTCACAAGCTTCAGCTGGTCCAGAACGCAGTGGCAGGAGCAGTTATGGGCCTGTCACATTTACACCCACATAACATCTCTGCTGCCTGGTTAATGGGACGCCTCTGGTGCAATTCAAGGTGCTGGCTGTCCCCTACAAAGCTCAACACGGCACAGGATGTTGTCCCATTTCTCTGAAAACATCTCAAAGCAAAATCTACTCAAAGCAAAGGAGGGGGGGCTGAAAAAGATTAAAATAAACGTAGAGAGCATGGGACGCTTTGGAAGAAGACGTAGAAGGGGGGCACAGAGCAAGCTCCCCATTTTGTGAGAGCACCCACCACCAAGAAGAGCAGCGACCTGCAGCTTCTTGGGGGTCCGCCAGTAAAACGGGCACTCGGTAGATTCCCAGGACGTGTAGAAAAGTATCCTTAAACTATTCCCTGTGATTCAGCCTCCCGGTCGCAGCGATGCCCGAAGCTACCGGAGGACCTCACCATGGAAAGACCTCCCATCCTGGTTGCCTGCCAAGTGGGCCAGAAGGTTGGAGGAGTAATGAGAGAAGCAGAGAAAGAGGAGGTGAAACATCTCTTACTTTTGCTTTTCTTGAAGCCTCCTCGGGATCACTTCTTCCGGGGTCCACGTGTCCTTCAAGGCAAGATTTGGGCAGTGAAGGGAGGGTAAAAATAGCCGAGGACTCTGAGGAACCATGACACAGAATCCTAGGGACGGGAGGGACCCCAGAGGTCTTCTAGTCCACCCCCCTGCCCAAGATGGGAATTCTCACACCATTCCAGACAAAACACCGTCCAGTCCGTGGACACGTCTGTGCTGCCCCTCCCCTTCAGACACCCTCCTTAAATTTCCCAGGCTCCTTCATTCCATTTATCCCTTCATTCTAATCAGAAACGTTTATTTCGAGATAAATAGGATGCTCTGAAAAGCTGCAGGTTCAAATTAGTATTTTTTTATCAGTGTTGTTTTATTCACACCTGGTTTACCGGATAGCTCTGAACGGGTTCGGTGTTTCTGATTATCGGATCCTTTGCAAGGATCTAGGATAGCTAAAGTCCTGGTTGTAAAATATCCACTTTTCCAATGCAATTTTTTGCAACCCGTGAGTTGAGATTCCCTCTGTTCTTGTTGCGTCCAAGCGCTTCCCCAGATCTTTCAATGTGGTACCAAGCCCACCAAGCCCTTTTGGCACCACTACAACTTTCTTTTTCCACATTTGCGCAAGAATTATTTGAATGTCTTTGTGTTTCATGATTTTTCCTAGTTTTTTCTGATCGACCCTTCTGTCTCCAGCTACTACAATGTCAATTATCCACACTTGTTCCTTTGTAACTATGCTATTACATTAAAAATATTCAACGAGTGTTATTTTTGTTCCTGTTATTCCTGTCACTACTAATGCTGCATTTCTAATCTATGGAATATTTCGAGTTCTCTGGATGGATCAGTTAAAAGTTTAGAAAAAAACTAAAATTCAAACAACTTGCAATTTAAAAACTCCTATCTGGCCATGAAATTCCCCAGAAAAATGCTAAGCTGGGCCCACGTTTTTATGTCTTCCTACTTCTTTCGGCCTGCCTCACAAGGCTGTTGTGAATATAAAACAGGGGTGAGCAGAGAAAAGTGTAAATTCCCGGAGAAGGAAATAAGAATTGGACAAAACTATCAATGATAATCAATGATTCCCGTCCTGCTTTTGAATAGACAGGGATTTCCAAGGGGGCTGAGCAATAATCAAATGCCCTCAAAAACAATAAATAAATCCATATTGCCAAAATACACAAAGTGATAAACCTAGCCTAAATTCGAACCTGGCATTTGCTCAAAATTCTCCCCTTTCCTTTGCATTTCAACCTTGGCAGTCATAAGTCACTGTCAAAAATTGCTATTTAAGGTTCTCAGGGCAGAGCACGGCTCTGGGCAGTGGAAACCACACAAATACACATGCACACACACACACAACCCCTAACCTGTCTGTTGTTCCTTGGAAGATACAGATTCTGCTTACCGGATCAATGAAAGGGATCCCAAAGACGTCGTACGCAAAGAAAAGCAATTCCTTCTCCAGCAGACTGCGCCGGTGATAAATCTGGACTTTCTGCAGCAGAAAAAGAGGCTCAGAATTAGAGAAATCAGGCCAGAGCCATTCATCTACCAGCCAGCCGACCGGCTGGAGGCAACGTCCAGAACGTCGCGCGGAAGCCGGGCGGAGCTTTGGAAAAAGCACGGAGCAATCTGAAATCCTTCGACTCAGGATTTGCAAGTCTCTAGTCCTCATCGTCCTGGTTGTTGCGTCGCTGGCTACGTTCAGAACTCGGGGATGTAAATTCCTCTGTGGCGACTTTGCAAGGGAATAGAATTAGCCTTCATTCAATCGATATGTTTTTTTGATACCGAGCTAAGGAGGAGGAGGAGGAGAGAGGCCAATCTGGATTCTTTGGGGCAGCGGTCCTCTGGGCACAGGATTTGGACCTGCTTCTGCTTTGAGAAAAGCAAATTTGGAGTCTTACCCTGGGCAGGGGGTGGACTAGATGGTCTCTGAGGTTCCCTCTGACCGTACCATTCCAGCATCCGATGCTTCAATCTGGATTCCTGCCCTGGGCAGTGGGGTGGGCTAGATGTTCTCCCAGACCCCTTTCCACCCGCCCCATCTAAGATTCCACGAAAAGCACTTGCGTAACTCAACATCAACCAAGACCCGGAGGATGAACGTGGGCAGGTCTGTCTGTCTGTCTGTCTTCCAGTGTGAGGTCTTCCC